ATCGTGCATGGGCAGTGGTGGGGCGGGATTCTAATCTGAGCGCTAGGGAGGCAGAGGCAGGAGGATCTCTATGAGTGTGAGACCAGCCTGATCTATAAGGCGAGTTACAGGACAGCCAGGGTGACACAGAGAAACCCTGTCTTGAAAAACCAGAAAAACAAAACACAAAAAAGTGACATGAGATAAAACTCGTAAAGACTAGAAGTATGGCTCACAGCATCTGCTCCACTTTCTTTCTCCTTTCTCTCCAGTTGGAATGTACCGCCTCACCTTGTTCTGCCTCACCATTGGCCAAACAGCCTTATTTATGAACCAATCAGAGCAACACATATTCACAGCCTACAGAAAGACATCCCACAGCACTCTAGTTTAACTCAATAATTATGTTTGAACTCCTCAATTATGTTTGAGGAAGGAACTATGATAAAGCAAAACTGTGTCAGAGAGAGGAAGTGCTATTGACCTGGTTAACAGTGCATAAATGATGGAAGGTCAGCTGCTACTATCTAGTCTATAAATCACAGATATGCCGTGGATGAAGCAGACATTTAATCAGAGCAGTAAAGACCTTCTGTCTAAGAAGACAATATAAGCAAGCATAATCTTATTTCGTGAATGTAAAGCACATGACAATAGATCCAGACACATGAGAGATCAGTTTCTCAAGCAAAGTAATTTCAGGTATGTTTTGAATGTTTTGTTTATTTGAACTTGTAGCAAGTAATGGTGAAGAATAATTCTTTAATAAAAATTTAAAATTTTATGTAGTATACCATACATGTAATAAATACATTAATAATAAATGTTATACTTTGATAGAACTTGATGTCCTTACTATCACAAGCCAGGGCATGGTACAGAGTATTCCTGGTACTTCAGACAGACAGTCCTTCTTGATCCTCTCATCACCAATATAACTTTATCTCACCCTGGTAACCATTGATAAATTTTATTTCTTCTTGAACTTCATATAAACAAAACTACCTCATAGGTCCTCTGCTCTTCCACCTCTTTGCCTGTCTTAGGCTCAACTAAACAAAGATGTCATAGGGTATTATCCATACTGCTTTATATATCAATAGATGAGTTTTCTTTCTTATTCTTCAGTAGTCCTTTGATTAAATATACTGGAATGTATACATCCAGTTTGTAGGCAACAGATCTGGAGACTTCTCAGCATCTATAATTTTATAAGGCAATTCCTAATAAGTCAGTCTCTCTGACTTTACATTTCTTTATGTTTCCATGTGGCTTTGCTTCTCTGGAAAAACCAAACATAACCCTCCAAATATTGTCAATGTCACCAGAAAAATGGTGGAACATATTATCAGTAATGAGAATTACTTTCCAGAAGTTGTAAATAATATTCTAAAAAGTATTTGCCCCAGTCCATATTTGTTACAAGTTGAGAAAATTTCCATTCCCTCAGACCTGGAGTCAATATCAAATAACACCTAATAACCTCTTGATCCTTGGTAAAGTAGTTAACCCTTTTTTTCTTTCCTGTTTGGTGAGGATAATAACAAGTACTCTGTGGGATTAGTCTATGGCTTTCCCATTTGTTAGTCAATCACTCCTAATTTACTTTCTCTTCTTCCTTACTCCCTCTTTTTCTTCTCCTCCTGTTGTTCTTTTTCCACCTTCCCCTCATTCTTCCTACTCGCTCCTCCCTTTTCTTTTTTCCTCTCTTTCACTCTACTTCTCTCTTAATGAGAGTGGACAAAATAGTGATAGTGTTAATTATCTGAATAAACAAAAGTTCTATAGTGACAAAGAGGAAAGCAGGTGGGTAGAGGACAGTTAAAGAAGGAAAAAGAATAAAAACTGTGGGAGGACAAGACATCATGTCCTTATCCTTAAATTAAAGTTCTCCATTGGGGGCGGAGAAATGATGAGTAGAAGAGAACACCTGATGTTGTGAAAATTATGCCTTATTGTCTATCAATGTTAAGCACACTGAAAAAAAATCAGACTCATTCACCTGTAATGATATATTATAAGGAGAACTGCACTGAACTGAAGGTATGTCTATGAGACAGTATATCAAAATTAAAGTCTTATTTGCATATATAATATCAGTTAGAGCAAATGTTCACTGCATGATAATGCTCCCTCTAGGAGAGGCCATTAGGTTGATTTGAACTCATTTCAATGTTCATGTGGGAAGCTGATTTTTTCTATGTAATTACTAGAGTAGTTAAGACACTGTGCTAATGAAATAGGCAGAAAAATGACTGCACAGAAGCTGTGTCACATAAATGTGGCAGCTTATGTGCTGATTTAAGGAAAACTCCATGTGTTTAAACCACTCCAAACGACAAAAACCCATCATTCTACATATCTCCTTGCTCACTCAAGATTCTTCTTGTGACCTTATTTTGGGAATTGATAGAATTACTTTTATAATAAAAAATAAATTTCACAGTACATTAGAAGTGGGGGCAGATTGCGAATATGGGCACAAATCCTTTCAATTCTCATATGCACACTCCATCATAACTTTGTTTTTTAGCACTAAAACTCTTAGTCTATTTTTCAAGCCCTTAATTTTTGGCTGGCCATATGACTTAGTTTGATCAGTAAGATATTGGTAAATAAAACACCATGACAAATAGAAAATTTCAAAGTACTAGCTTACAAAGGCTTGCTGCTTACTGCTCTTGGAACCCTGAGACCACCATGTGCATGAATCTCAGGAAGCCTGCTAGAAAGATGAGGTAGCTACTCAGAATAGACAGATCCCGCAGCTGACAACCCACCAAACACTAGAAATGTGAGTCATGAAACTGTTTTACATCATCTGGTCAGTGGTTGTTCTGCCAGCTAGCTGGCCACCAACCATGAGCAAACCCAGAAGAGATGAGTTCAGACAAGCCAGATTAAGATAACTGCTCTGCCAACCCTCAGAAGCATGACCTAAGCCAAATGGTTATCCTTTTTGGCCAAGTTTAAATTTCTGGTAACTGTCATACAAGATCTAACTGGTATATGTGAAACCCAGTTCCTTCATACCTCAGTCTCAGTTCTAGTTGTTGGTTTTAAATACAGAGCTTTTACTCTGTGAGGAAAGGTCACAAGGCATGACAAAACCCAGTATAAGAGCTTTATTGGGGGGGGGGGAGACAGGCCTGTGAAAGAACATGCAGGGAGAGAGAGGGGGGAGGAGGAAAGAGCAGAAGAGAGGGGAGGAGTCTGTGACCTGCTTTTTAAGGATTCTCCTGCATGTGCACATGTGGACTTACAGAGCTATGCCACGCATGCACAGATTGTGCAATCACGCAGTGCACTGATGATGTAAGAGTTAAGACCCCTTACTTAGTTACTGAACTGCGCATGCATGCAGTGCATTGATGACATTTAGCTACCGCACTGCACTTGTATGGTCATATAGTTGGAGGAGTGGCAGAATCTTAACATTCCAGACTTTTTGCTTATTATAAAAAAGATGGGTGAACAGAAATAGGGGTGTCGTTTCTCCTGAAAAACTGCTTCTAGCTGACTTGGTGGGCGTTGGTTGACTCTTGAGGGAATAAGGAAGGGCGCTTCTGAGGTAGACAGGCATCCTGGGACGGTGGTTGTCATCTGCTGCCTTGGACCTGTCCATCATCCCTCTTGGCCTGGGAATCTGGCTGCTTGTGTCTGAGAGGGTGCTGGTGAGACAGAGAAAAGCTTGGAAAAATAATAATAATAATAATAATAATAATAATAATATTATTATTATTATTATTATTATTATTATTATTATTTTTCCTTTGCAGGGGCTGCCAGTGTGAGAGAGGGGATCCTGAGACCAGGAAAGTTTGGGTTACACCTATCTGAAGCAGACCCGACCTGTCCAGATGGATTCAAGCCAGTTCTGGAGCTTGCTGACCTGTCTAAGTGGATTCTCTGGAGCTCGGAAAATTTTTAAACATATTAAGAAGTAGCCATGGGAAATTTAAAATCTTGAGCTGGTGACCATATTATTGTAAATGTTTTAGTACTCTTCTGTATTGGTTAGTTTAGTGAGTGTGTGTGTGTGTGTGTGTGTGTGTGTGTGTGTGTGTGTGTGTGTGTGTTAGAGAGAGGGGGGAGGAGGGAGAGAGAAGGATATTTGAAACATGCTTTTAATTTTTACCTGAGATAAATTTTGTCAGAAACAGATTATTTTAAGGCACCTGTTTCCTTTATTAGTTTAGCATCTAGGAGACACAGGTGATCAATTGCTGAGGGCATTTAACAGTAATAGATTGTTACATTAAAGTCTATATTTTGCAGAGCCCAGACACTTTTGGGTCTGGGGGTGTAAATACCTTTGGACTGTTACTGCTCCTTTCCACCTGGGTATATACTTGATGGTCCTTGGACTCCAGCTCTATGGTGATCCTGTAACAATTAGCTGAGTAGTTAATTAGAAGAGGGAAACAGGAAGAGTAAAGCTTGTAGGGTGAGACCTCATTCTTGTGGAATTGGTGACAAGGCAGTGGATCCTGGTGTCCTCTGGAACTTGAGAGAGAGCAGGGCCCTGTCTGTGTCACTGAGCATGAGGAGGAGAAGCGCTGCTGGTCGGGCTGGAGTGAGGCACATGGAGGGAGCAAATGAAATGAAAGCTCCTACCTTAGCTGGGAAATCTTTTCCCATTAGGTTTCCCTTAAAGTACAATTAAGTGGTGGGATCTGATGAGATGGTTAAGGCTGTCCCCCTACCATGACAATAGGGAAATGAGGAGAGGTGGGACCCCAAAACTTCCTCAGGACTGAGTATGTGGCCCACTGTCCAACAGGAAGGAAACGGATGGCCCCATGCTGCATCCTGGGTTCCCTGTGAGCTCGTGGTCAAGCCCAGGAGGTCTGCTGGAGGTCCTTGGTCCCCACACCACAAGGTGCACAAGGGCAGTCAGCTGACCAGCATCTCTCGAGGTAACTTTTTGAACTGGGGAGCAGGGCACACAGTAGCCTATGTGGCCTTTTCTAGCACACAATTAAAACAGGGACCTGGGTGCCCTTATGCAGCCACTCGGATAGCGTGTGCCAGCATTTGGCAATTCTGTTCATGGGCTTTCTCATCTCTCCCATGGCACCTTAAATGCCACAGCTGAAACTTCTGCCTGTGGGGTTAGGGGACCCTGCTCTCCAGATGCTTAAGCTTAGCCCTGATATTGGGGAGCTCTGGGAGACATGAGATGGATTTTATTCCATATCTTGAATTACTTTTTTTGATAGTTTGCTTGGTGAGGACAGCTTTAGGAAGACCTGCCAGGAGGCAGGTTGTAAACTGATCTCTGGCTAGAGAGCCATCCAGATTATTATAATCCCGATGTGGGTCCTGACTGTAAACTTATTTGCATGCATCCTAGCCTGCTTCCAGACCTGTCCGTGCCTCTCAGGGCAGCTGAGAAGGGTGACAGGTGACAGTCAGAGTGAAAGAGGGAGCCAGAGTTGGAGAGGTCCGCCTGATCCCGGAGAGCAGAGCAGAGGGCAGATAGGCAGAGGTTCTTTGGAGTCAGAGATTCCTCAGGTTCAGGAAGGCACGTGGACAGGAGAGAAAGACTCAGAAAGGGAGGGTTCAGAGCTTAGGTAAAAGTGTGGGGATAAGGTAACTCTTTTCATTTGATTGTTCACTGGCAGAACTTAGATAATTCTTGTGAAATGTTGGAGTTCAAGCAGCCGTTATGTGGCCATATTTACCTAAAATTGGGATATTTAAGCCATTTCTCAGAGGAGGAGTGGGACCAAGAAGAGGAAGCCTCTATGTCATGTGACTGCAGCTGAGAGAAAAACAAAAATAAAAAGTTAAAATAACAAACGGGATCCCAGACTCCCATCTCAGGCGTCCCCAAGAGTAGGTAATCTGTGGACCGGCATAAATTATCAGCACAAGTTATTCCAACCTTCATACTCAGCACGAGGACCCCCCGGGGGTCTGATGCAAAAAATATATCTCAGGCTACAGTCATGGGAAATGGCGAGGGATCGGAAAGGGAAACTCACCAATCTAGGCAGCTGGTGTGTTGTATCAGTCCTGACGGCTGGGCAAATGAAAAAAGCAGGCAGCTGTAGACCCAAGAAACCCAGTATCAGAGCTTTATTAGGAGGATGTGGGGACAGAAGAGAGTGACCAGGCCTGGGAAAGACATGTGCAGGGAGAGATGGGGGAGGAGGAAAGAGCAGAAGAGAGGGGAGGAATCTGTGACTGGCTTTTTAAGGATTCTCCTGCACATGCACATGTGGGCTTACAGAACTATGCCACTCATGCGCAGATTGTGCAATCACGCAATCACGCAGTGCACTGATGATATAAGAGGTAAGGCCCCTTACTTAGCTACTGAATTGCGCATGTGCAGTCATATAGCTGGAGGAGTGGCAGAATCCTAACACTAGTGCTCTCAAAGGAGAAGAATTCAGATGGGACACAGTAGTAGAACAAACATTCAAGAGTTTCGTTAGAGCAAGCAAGGGAGGAAGAATACACTCTTTAGAATAAGAAAGGGCTGATTTGGGGAGATAGCTCAGCGAGGGTGGGGTGGGGGTAGGTGCACTTGCTATTCTAGCCTGACAAAAGGCCTGGAACCCACTATGAAAGGAAAGAACTTGTTGATTTAAGTTCAGCACAATGGCTGTGCCTTAATCTACTTCTATTTCAGACAGCAATTGTGCCTCTGCCGTTCCTGGCCTGCTTCTCTAGCAGCGGCCCACCCCTCAGGCCACAGCTTGCTGAGAATTCTGCTTCTAATATCTCTAAATGTAACTTTCACTAAATAGCTACTGTTCTAATTATGAATAAGACTTGAGATTCAAAGGCTGGGGTGAAAACCTGTGAGCTCAGAGAGGCTGAGTAGCAACTAGCTAAGCTTCTCTCCTTACTGGCATCCACGGAAGGAAGACCTGTGCTTCCACATCGCCAAACCCGAAAAACCTACCCTACTCCAAACCTCACCCTACTACATCCTTTGTCTATCTCTCCAGGATGCCCTCTGAGGCTCTATGATTAATTTCTGTCAACTAGTTGCTAATGCAGCCTCCTGACCCAAGGTTAATTTTATTTAAGTAATGAAAATGCAAACTTGTGGTTCACAGTGTGACCAAATATCCCCCAACAAGAACTGACTCTCCAAAATTGTTTTCTGAACTTTGAACATATGCTGTTACATGTGTGAGACACACACACACACACAACACACACACACACACACACACACACACACACACACACACGGGCGAGACAGAGAGACAGAGACAGAGACAGAGACAGAGAGAGCTAGACTGACAGACAGGGAATTACAAGAGACGAAGGTCTCACAATACCTCTTGAGAATACATAAAAAGAAAAGTAAGAGGAAGGGCATAGGCAGGAAGCAATGCTTCTGTACTAGCAGTGGTGCTTTTCTCCCTATTACTTGTCCCCCTGTGTCTCCTCTAGGGTGTCACTTTCAGGAAAAGACTTCCTCCCAGAAGTCCACTTTACCCAGAATTCAGTCTGCTATTAAGTATACTTATAAGACACAATAATATGTGGAAGGTTTTAAATACCCCACAAACTTTAACATTTACTAGAAGAAAGGGTACCAGCTCTCTTGCTTTTAGCTGATCCAGCTAGAGACCACTACCAGTTATTGTTTTTTTTTTTCATTTTAATAGACTAGGTCTGAATAGACAAGACTTCACTATATAAACCAGGCTGACCTCAAAGTCATTGAAATCCACCTGCCTCCTGCTCTAAGTACTAGGATTAAAGGTGTGTGCCACCATGCATTGTCCTTTATATCCTGTTTTGGGGTCCTGAACTGGTTCGCTGGAAAACCCACCACTCTTTATATGCTGTTTCATTGACTCCCACCATCAGCTATCTTTAAGGCCCAGCTGGAGTGACAACTACTTCCTGTTATCCATTATATACTCTTGTGGAGGGGTATTGATGGTCAGTCCTACAAAAGTTAATCTCCTGCCTAATACTAGTACTGAGTTTTAATTCCAGCAGAGTATAATGGATGAGAGGAGAGAGAAGCATGTGTATATGTATACATATGTATGTATAGCAGGTATTGAAATTTTAGATAACTTTATCAGTAAAGGCTACTTGAGAAGATAACATTTGAATATAATTTGAAAGACACAAAGGAGTGATTCATGTGGTTATTTAAGAAACTGAATATGGAGGCCAGAGAGATGGCTCAGAGACTGAGAATACTGATTACTCTTCCAGAGGAGCTGGGTTTGATTCCATTCACATGGTGGCTTATAACCATCTGTAACTCCAGTTTCAAAGAATATAACACCCTCTCCTGGCCTCTGTGGACACCATACATGCAAGTGATGCCCAGACATATATGTAGAAAAAACTTCATACATATAATAAAATAACAAAGAAACTGAATATGCCAAGCTAAGAAAATGGTGAGTGGGAAGTTCCTGAAGCATATTATATTCATCCTTTTTTGGAAGTAAAGAAAGGATGTCAGAACACTAGGTCATATAGAAGATGAAGACAGAGAGGTAACAAGGTGAAATATATTCTAGGAGGCAGCAATTTGGGAAGCCTTCTTCAATGACAGGTGGTATTCCCATAGATTGTCACACCTCATACGAGGCAAGGCTACTTAAGTAATCCAGAGGTATAAGACAGATAAAAAAAAAACTGGGCCAATCAAGTTATCGCTACTAGCAATGTGAAACTTGAGATATAGAGACCCAGAGACAGAGAGATATTGAAACTTATGGTTAATTTTCATTGTCAACTTGATTGGATTTGGCATCACCCAGAATATTTGAGGCATATCTCTGGTTATGCCCATGAGGGAATTTCGGAAGAGAATTAACTTTGGAGAAAAGACCTAACCTCAATGTTGGTGGCACCATTCTATGGGTTCAATGTTTGAATGGAGCAAAAGTGGAAAAAGGAAAAAGCCCCATTTCTTTGTTTCCTGGCCTGCTGAGATGTAAACAAGCAACTGCCTGATGCTATGGTTTCCTAGCCACGATGGAAGCCGTGATGGATTGAATTCCCTCTGACCATGAGGCAACATCGATCATTCCCCTCTTAAACAAGCTCTTGTCAGGTATTTGGTTGCAGTAGTGAGAAATGTGACTAATACAGAGCTGAGGTTGGATCACAATAGGTGGCTAGCTATCTTGGACTACTTAGGCTGCTGGAACAAAAATACAACAAACAGAACAGCTTAACAGCCACCGAAGTTTATTGATAACTAGCCTGAAGATTAGGAGGTCAAGATCAAAGCGTAGACCCAAGGGATCTAGTGAGACACACATCCTAATTTACTGACAGCTGTGTTTTGTTGTTGTTTGTCTGTTTGTTTGTTTTGCTGTATGTTCTCACGGTGGAGGAGAAAAAAGAGCTCTCTGGAGCTTCTTTTATGAAGGGCACCAGTCCCATCCGGGACCTTTTTATCACCCAATATGATAACACTGTCACATTTGGGGTAGGGTTTCAATATACTTAATTTTGGGGAAACACAAACATTCAGACTGCAACATTGGCTGAACTCAAGGGATCCAGAATCCAAACCAATGAATTTCAGGAGCTTACCTGGTTGTTGTTCTTCTCAAGGCTTGAGAGTTTAATTTGTTTTTGAGTCTGGGGAGTGCTCCTGACTCATTATGATGAATTTGCTCTAGTACTCATTTTTTTCTTAAATAAGGCAAAGTTAATTTTTGTTGCTTGCAAATAAAAGAGTCTTAACTAATATAATTATTTTTGATTTCTCTCTAGTTTTTTAATATATTCCTTCTCTTCTGAAGTAGATTACTAGTTTCTTCAAGACAGGAAAAATTCCCTCAATTTATTTTGTATCCTTCCTCTACCCAGCTGTGCTTATAGAACAAGATAATAACAGCTAAGCATTCATCCAATTACTATTATGTGTCAAGGACTGAGCTAAGTGCAAATGTAGATCTTTTTATTTAAGCTTTACAATAAGTCTGTGAATAAACATTCTGATTTTCTCTACAGATGAGGTCGCAGAGGTCACAGAATTAATGCCATGGTGAATCAATGGAGTGCAGATTCAAACCCAGGTAACCTTATCTAATAACCTAGATTTTTAGCAGATGGTTACTTTTTAAAGTAAGTATTTATTTACC